ATCGGAATGCACATTGCTTGTTGAGATTCCACTTGCACTGCATTGTCCATTCAGTCCTTTTTATCACATTGCGGATCCTCGGTTATTATGTACATCGCCCAACTGGGCATGTAACACCTGGCGACAGCTGTTTTGGCAAAACCCCGAATTTTTGGCCTTCCATTAACCGCTAGTGATGAAAACCCTTTTTCCTTCGTGTTTTGGGCTCCTTTTCTTTCACACTGCTGGTTTGGCACCCACTCTATGGATTGGTGACAAGTTTGTTCAAAACCCTGAAATTTTATGGCTCTGTTAACCGCTTCGCTTTATTCCTTCACTACCGGTTATTCTTGATTTGCATCTGTACCTTCATCTCACATAACTCCCAGGTTTCTTTACTCCTGCCTTTAAAAGATCCTCGGATGTCTCACCAACCCGGCATCAGACTTACAGAGTTGATCCAGCCATTGACAAGACAAGGAAGATGTCTGCAGAAAAGGGGAAAGGATAGCTGAGGCTAAGAATGATGCAGCATATCAAAGGATGAAGGTGGACAGCTACAGAACGGCGACAGGATACAGCAGGTGGAGAAGTCAGGAGGCAGAATATAAGAAGGGCCAATGGTTGCAGGGCAAGGTGGTGAGAGAAGAGGGAAGAGGGTGGGGTATGAGGGAGAGGAGGAGCAGGAGGAAGAAAGAAGGGGAGGACACCAGAAACTCACACTTCTGTAATGGTAGTCAATCCATCACAAGTGATTCCCTCCCAGTTGTCCTCACAGGGATCTCCAATCCAGCCTTTCAAATCTGCAGGGTCACCTAAGTTTCTCTGTATGTTCAGGAGTGTTTGTCCTGCAATGCCGCCGAGCACATAGACATATGACCACCAATCAAATGTTATGAACAGAGCAGTTTCATGAAGATGGATTGTGCTTGGACCAAATCTTTTTTGTGTTTTCTCTTGTTTTTTTAGATTGGAACAAACAACCAGTTGTGCTTAGAACGTAAACAAAGAGCAAGCAAGGTTGCACCAGGGCTCGAAGTTGTATCTTGAGATATCGCTGAATATTGCATTGAACCTCACTGTTTGTCACCTTAAGCACACACACACATTGAGAGATCACACGAAATCCACACTGGATCCCAGAGATGCAAAGTCCATATAAGCGCAGCTTAGAAATTCCAACGAATTATCATATTAAGCGGTTGCAGAGTTCCAGTCACCAAGCGCTCAACAGCACAGAGTTCAGCATCCCATATCCAGCATCTTTATCCAAGGTAGGTAACTCTCTCTCTCTCTCCCCCTCTCATGTATGTGTCCCCTCTCTCTTTCTCTCTCTTTCTCTCTCTCTCTCTGCATGAAGATCTTGACTCTAGAAAATCCGCTACTACTCAGCTCTGCTGCCTACTACTAGCTGTGCGGCTATGGCCGCCTTCCTTCCTCAACACAGCGCTGCCCAGCCAGGGCTCTAGCACATGCCTACTCGCAGATAGTGCACAAGCGCTCAGCAGCACTTCCATATTTCTTGTGAATGAGCAATCTGTTCGAAATAAGGCTGGCCAGTCCCTATATTGACTTGGACTGAGCCTTGATTCGTCCCAGCCTCTGCTTCTCTTGGCTTGACTGGACCCGGTACCGGCTGCCCGCGGCCTGCTGCTTTCGGAATGTTGAGGCCTGGTGCCTCCCTGAATTTTCCTTGGTGTGCTGCTGCTTTTGGGCCTGTGGGACGTGACCTTTTCGTCTGGGTCGTGACGCTTGTCTGTTGGATATGACCTTTGACTGTGAGATGTGACCCTTGCCTGTGGGTTATGACCTTTGACTGTGAGACACGACTTTTGCCTCTGGGATATGACTGTTGACAGGGTACCTGTTGGACGTGACCTCTGGGGTACCCGACATAACCTTCTGAATCTGGCCGACCTGGCCTCTTTTGGCTTGGGGACTTTGACCCTATCTCGTATCTTATATCTATATCTCATGGTAACCGCGGACCCGGACACCGAACACTTCCGGACTGTCTTCCGGACCAGTGTCTGGACCGGTCTGGACTGTCCGGTGATCCGGACATCACCGGACACCGGACATCACCGGACACCGGACAGTCCGGACCAGTCCCCGGGGTGCAAAAATGTCCGGACCTAAAAAAAAAAAAACGGGGTTTGGGGGGAGGTTGGGTGGGGGTGTTGGCAGGCACTTACCTTCTTTGCACTCTGTAGTTCAGGCAGCAGAGCACGTGTCTTGCAGCAAATCAACCAGCACATTTAACCAGCAGACATGCAGAGTTGCAAACAGTACAAAGCAGGCACAAGACTAAAGAAACAGAGAATTCAAAAAAAAAAAAAGTATGATTACCTTTGAACTTTGGATTTAGTAATTTAAGTTCATAACTTCATATATAACTTAAAAGTTCGAGCTTTGCAGTTCAATTCAGAACCTCAGAGTCTTCAGACTGGCAGCACTGTCAGTGCTCTCTCTCTCTCTCTCTCTCTCTCTCTCTCTCTCTCTCTCTCTCTCTCTCTCTCTCTCTCTCTCTCTCATGGGCAGGAGTGGCGGGCGCGACGTCGAAACAGCCGCTTTGAAATTGCTCGGTCCTGTGCGAAACCCGCCACCTCAAAAACCTGCAGTGTCCGGTGGGGTGAAAGGACACTTAAAAATCACCCAGTTATTTTTCGAGGGGCGGATAGGACCCGACAAAAGTCCTGGGCCGCCCCTTTTTTTTTTTTTGATTTTTGCCCCAGGGGCCTCCATCCAGACATGGGGACCGGACACCGGACACCGGACACCGGACTGTCTGGAACCCGGTCCGGACGTCCGGGAGGTTACCATGCTATATCTTCTATCTATTATATGTTTACTTTTATTAATAGTTTAAAAAATTATAGTCAAGAAACTTTTCGAGCTGAGATTCGAATTTGGGGTCTGCATCGTGAAAAGCCTTTCACTCTCGCTGGCCTGATTCCAAGAACCTCCGAGAAAGTTACAAACTTTCTGTCAATTATTTCAATTACTCTCCTGGCTCTCTCGTAATAAGACACTATGTGCGATGCTGTTTCTATAAGCTCATCCCTAGTAAACCAGCGATCCTCTGAGGGCTCCTGATAAGCGAATCTGACTTTATACTGTCGTTGGCGCCTACCCCTGCATCCAGATCTGCGTGGGCGCCAACCCAAATGCAGTTCAGTGGGCGTTCTCGCTGTAGCTAGATGCACAGAATTATTGTAGGCACCAGCAACCTTAGCCAAATGTTCATCCCAGTCAATCTGATCTGGTCAGATATACGAATGTAGAACTTGCCGTAATACCCTGTTCATCTGCTCAGCCTGTCCGTTTGTCTCAGGGTGTCTGCCTGAAGACATAGTCAGTTTGGAACCATAGCCGTTCATGAGCTGTTGCCACTGCTCGCCCGTTGATCGTGTATCGCTGTCACTTACAATAGCCAAGGGATCCCCGTAGTCTTTCACCCAATGATTGAAGAACTTTCGAATCACGAAGTCTGTCCTAGTCGCAGCAGGGAGTGGAACAAAAACAGCGAAATTGCTAAATCTGTCCACTATCACCATAACTTGGCTCTTTTCTATTCCTAACCTTAAGTGTCCATAAAGTCTATAGACACGGAGTCTCCGGGACCCGACGGTATAGGCAGCGGTCTAAGTAAACCAAGACGGCTGCGTGGAACTCTTGTTCCTCTGACACACTTTGCAGCCTTGCACATAAGCTATACAATAATGTTCATTCCAGTCCATGTGTAGGAACGTAGGAGGTTAGCATACGTTTTCCTCCAGCCGAAATGTCCCTCAGTATCGTGGCATTCCCCTAGGATTAGACTGTGAATCTCCTCACTGTTCGGTATGCACAGTCTATCGTGTACATCCGTCTTCGCAAACAACAGTCCTTGTGTCATCCTATAGTCCGGAACTTCGTGAGGTGCCGTTTGCACCTTGTTAATCAATTGATTATAGACAGGATCACTAGCGTAAGAGGCTCTAATCTTTTCTTGTAACTCGGCGCCTGCACCTAAATATGTCACTATGGCGCCGAAGAAATCAGCTCATTTGCTTAGCGCATCAGCAACGACATTGTACTTCCCCTTTATTCGTTTAAGTTCAAAATCAAATTGATCTATATCGCCGACCCGTCTTGTCAACTTACGTGTCATTCGGGCTTGGGTCTTTAACCAGCGCAGTTTCTCATGGTCCGAGTATACCTTGAAATACCGCCCTAGGAGGTAATGTCGCCAATGATTCAAGGCTTCTCTAAGAGAAAACAGCTCTCTTGCGTATATGGAAACGACGACCTTCTCACTACGCAGTCCACATGACATAAACTCAACGGGTCTGTACCCATTACCGTCATTTTGCTGGAGTACAACACCAATCCCGTATTGACTGGTGTCAATGGTAACTATAAATGGCAAAGATGGATCCGCAACCTTCAAAACCGGGTACTCTATCAAGCACTTCTTCAGACACTTAAAGGTGCTGTCTTTATCCCATTTCCAGATTCTTTACTTCCTCAATAGCCTACGCCCCATTATCGTCATTCTGTTGGAGAACATCACAATCCCGTATTGATTGGCGTCAGTGGTAACTATAAATGGCAAAGACGGATCAGCGATCTTCAAGGCCGGGTACTCTATCAAGCCCTTCTTTAGACGCTTAAAGGCTGAGGTGCAGTCTTTATCCCATTTCCAGACTGTTCCCCTCCTCAACAGCCTACGCAATCGAGCAGCTATTACAGTAAAGTTACGTACGTACTTGCGGTAATAGTTGGTCAGACCAAGGAACAACCATAGTTCCGTCACCGTATGAGGTGTCAGACAGTGTCTGATTGCTGCTATCTCAGCGTCTTCCGGTTTGATTCCATCTCCATCAAGCACATGACCTAAGTACAATACCTGACGCTTAGCCCATTCACACTTCTTTGGGTTCAACTTAAACTCGGTGTCACGCAAGTTGCTCAACACCAAACAAAGGTGCTGTTCGTGCTCTTCTAACAACTTACTAAAAATCAGAATATCATCTAAATATCATGGCTACGATCCGGATGTCCGGACCGCCGTCCAGACAATGCAAGGAAGATGAGCGATAGCGAACTTCAGCAATCAAACAGCATCATACACATAAGACCAGATAGTCGTGACCTCGAACCAACAGCAAAATTGCATCACGAGTTTCACCAAATAAGAACACACCAAGAGCACATAATTGACAATGCTGAAATAGTCCCATCATCATCATCAACGAAGAACCAATGTTGATATCCTATCTGGCGCTCGGCGCCTAGTCTACAGATGGCAGATCCTATCTAGCCTACTTCTATAATGCCGAAGATGACGTCAACAACCTCACCGAAGTACGAGCAGATCTCGAGCAATGTCGTCGCTTCTAGCACCAGGTATGTCTCTCGTATCACTCTCAACCTCGTTCCCCAACGCACAGATGCCACATGCACCCAAGGGCCACCCTGCGCCACACCCAGCTCACAGCAGCGCAGCCCGGCTATGGCTGCCTGCTCCTTCCAGCTCGCCTGTGAGCGCGTGAGCGCTGGCCAGCTCTAGCGCAGCAGCGCTTGTGCAGCATTCAGCCAGCACCCGAATGTCCAATGCGGTGGCAGGCCCTTTGCTATATGGAAGTGGCCTGCCTGCCTTCTGTCCCAGGCTGCGCTGGGCCTTTCCCAAGAAGCTTCCAGTAGGCCCCGGCAGGCTGAGGCCCAGACCAAACGAATTGGCCCAGGGCTGCCGACAATTACCTGTGCCCAACTGCCCAGTTGGGCCTATGTTGCGAATCTCGCCCAGGGCCTGACTCAGATGCATTTGATAAAGAAAGCCAGGGTCTGGGGGCTTCCAACCAACTGGCGCAGTGCAACTTCCTGAATTTTCCCCAGTTGCGAAGTAGTCCAAAATAGGCCTCTAAGGGTCTGTCGGGCCTGCCTTCACTTAGGGCGGCCGACGCTGTTGCAAATAGGGCCCAGTGGGGGCAGCAATTAGGTTGCGGATGCCTTGTACTTCGCTAGTCCTCTGAGAACTTCAGTCTTCGATAATCTGGCGTTTTCCTTTCCGTAAAGACTTCTCATAGTGGGCGACTACCTGTGGAGCGGTCTGCATCAATTCCTCCCTTGTGAACCATCTGTCCTCCTTTGGATCTGTGTGATGTCGGAACCGAACTCGATATTGCAGCTTCGGTTTCGGAGGACGTCCTCTGCCTGTTAGTCTTGGAACTGGCATCTCGCGGTGGTCAACAATATCATCGATGTCAACCTCTCCATCCATGGTTGGGGGCAGCATTGAGCGACGAAATGGAAACTGATCTGTTTCCTTGAAAGGTGCAAGCTTGGAGGCGTGAAAGACAGGGAAGTGCGGAGATGACCAGGGATCCGGATTACATAAGATGGCCCATCTGGGTCAGTACCGACAATATCTAAGACTTCCCATGGCCCAAAGTACTGTGGCATGAGTTTGCGGGAAATCCCGTACTCCTGTCCCAGTTCTGAGGACTTAACCCAGACTCTGTCCCCAACCTCAAACGTAGAAGGTCGGCAGTGTCTATTCTCAGAGTCTATCATTGTTGCCTGTGCCTTCTGCATCTGTTCTACCGCCTGCTGCATCTTCTGTTCATACCGGTAGGAAAATTCTAAAGTACCCGGTGCAACAGTTGACTGATTGTCAGGAAGGAGAAAGTCTAAGTGTAGTCTAGGCTTAAAATTCAATAGCAAGTTGTTTAGGCTCACCCCGGTGGCGTTATGTACAACGTTGTTGTACAAATTGGCGATGAGAGCAAGCTTCTCATCCCAGTCCACCTGGTTGGGCTTGATGTAATGCCTCAACAGGTGTTGTACAGCGCGATTCAGTTGCTCGGCCTGGCCGTTGGCCTCAGGGTGATTCCCATAAGTCATTTGCAACTGGGTTCCCTGCTCTGCAGCAGCGGCCTTCCACAATTCATTAGTGAAGAGGACATCTATGTCGCTCACTATGGATTTGGGCAATCCAAAATCCCTGACCGAGTTCTCTTTGAACAACCTGATTCTCGGTCTTCGCAGTCTCCGACATGGCTATTAATCTAGCATACTTACTAAATCTATCCACAATGACGAAAATGTGTCTCATCCCACTCTTGCTGGTAACCAGCGTATCCATGAAGTCCATGGACAAACTCTCACCAGGCCTTTCCGAAATCGAAAGGGGCTTCAGGAGCCCAAGAGGGGCCTGAGTACGTGGCTTGTCTCTCTGACAGACCTGACAAGTCTCCACGTACAGCTAGGCATCTCTCATCATCCTAGGCCACCGGAACCACTGCAGCAGGTTAGTTGCGGTCTTCTTGTACCCAAAATGGTCGGTGGCATCATGACACTCACCTGAAAACAAACTACGCAAAGACTCTCTACTTGGGACACAAACGTTTATTCTCGGCCTTCTCAAGGAACAACAAGTCATTGACCAATTCAAACTTGGCTGAAGTCTTCTTATCCTTCGCCTCAAGTCTGCGTATGACCTCTGACATAAACTGGTCCTCGCGATAGGCTTCCACCAAAGAGCGAGTAACATCGTCCGTCAGATCGAACTCAGTAATCAGCGCACCTGAGAAATCAGGTCTACGTGACAAGGCATCCGCAACCTTGTTGTACTCCCCTTTCAGATACTGAGGGTCAAAGTCATACTGCTCAATGACTTCGATCCAACGCTTCAAAGCGTCAGAAAGCACCAGCTGAGTTCTCATCCATCTCAGAGTCTGATGATCAGTTCTGAGGATGAAGAACCTCCCAAGGAGATAGTGCCTCCAATGGGTCAGAGCCTTGTACACCTCTTAGAGTTCCTTTGTGTTCTATGGTTTCTGGGATCTTATGGGAGGGGAACGCCGTGTGACACGATTTGCACCACGGGAGTGTTAGTCCTTTTTGTTCCAGGTAAGTGCGGTCTATTAGCCAGTCATTAGTGGGGAGGCAGCGGTGCTCTATCTGCCACTGCATTGAGGCTAGCTTTGCAGGTTTGGCCCTTGTGAGGGAGAACCACCGAATGGGGCGGATGGCGTCGATCCCAAAATTCAAATGGGATCTCCAACGGGTTTTTACGATATCTTTCAGATTTACCTTAGGGCGCAGTAAACGATAGGTGGCCTTCACTGTCAGGCTGTAGAGCTTTATGTTCTGTGTCCTCGGGGTTCTGCGCGTGGGGGGCCACTGCCACTCCTCCGGGTCAAAGGGAAGGTCTGTAATGCAGGTCCCCGGCTAGTATACTATGCAGTCCTCCTTATCCCGTAGCACCCGGATTCTGTACAAATCAGTGTTCATGTACCATCTCGTTACGCCCGGGGCATATTTGGTTAGTTTATTATCATTTTCTTTGTGACAGAGATTGATCAGTGTTTCATCCGTGTGTGTTGTTACAACATTTCTTACACTCTTTGGATCTCTAGGGCCGTCACCCAGTCCCCTTCCGCCAGCTTCGGTCCCTTGCGTAGGATGCGCACCCAATCCAGGGGAACCGCGAAGATCAAACTTTCCAAGTTGTTTTCTATATTATGACAATTCTTCAACATCGTCCAACCCTTGTTTTCTGAGTCCCAGATGTCTTTAACTCTGGTTATGCCCCTTTTGACCCAGTTGTTCCACGGGGAGTCGGAGCTGCGGTATACCCTCCCATGTCGATCCGTGATATTTTTGTTCTCGACCAGGGGTTGTTGAGCCACCTCCTCCCATCTGGTTGGCCCAGGTTTGTCTGGCAACGGTAGTTGGCGCCGGGCTTTCATGCAGCGGATCCAGAAATCGTCCTTTGCGAGGTCGCTGCGGACTGCATCCCGGTTCAGGTCTTGGCTCGCACGAGAGCGTTGAGGCAAGGACCAAAAGCGATCTTCCAGCCAGCTCAAGGGGTTTACTGTTCGAGGGGCTTGTGGAGCGAGTCGAGCGATCTGTTCCAGCGCCAGGGCATGCCAAGGGAGGTCGTGTGTGAACACCAATCTCTTGATCCACTGCACCATCAGTGTTGTGACCTGGGTGCCTAGGTCCAAAATCCCCAAGCCTCCTCTGTCCTTGGGTTGGATGAACGACGTCCACGCCGCCCTATGGATAACATTGGGAAGCTCGCTGTTACCTCTCCACAGCATTGTCGTTATTTGTCGTTTGAGCGACCACACAGCTTCTTTGCTAAGCACCCATATTGCGGATTTGTACCAAAGGGCGGCCAACACCACATTGTTGATCACCAGCGCCCTACCAATTAAGGAAGTATGTTTGTCATTCAAGCGCGCCAACTTCTCTAGAGCGGGTTTAAGGATCCAGTCATCGTTCGATGTCGGTTTTCCTGTTGTTTTCAACATTATTCCTAACACTCTAACCGGGGCTGTTTCCGGGGGCCATTTAACCTGTGGCAGCTCCGGGGGGCACACCCTTTGGTGGTGTATCCACCACCCAAGGGTTTTGTTACCCCAATTAATTGTCATGTCTAAAACGGCCGTGAACTTGTTAAACAGTCGTCTGATCTCTTCCATATTCTCGCTGGTGGCGTCTACCATGAGTGTCAAATCATCAGCGAACATCGAACAAACAAGGATGGCTTCTTCCAGAATGGCCGAGATCTGCAGCTTCCTCAGGTTTTTGTTTGCACGGAGATTCGCTGCCAGCGCCTCTATCACTATTATGAACAGAAACGGGGCCAAGGGATCTCCCTGACTGACAGACCGTTGTAGAGGAAATGCTGGTGCTATTCTGCCATTAATTTGGACGCTTGTGGTTGCGTTATGGTGCAGGATTTCAGTCCACGACGAAAGACCGGGCCTATATTCATTTTTTCCATGCACCGGTCCAAAAACAGCCAGTCCACGTGGTCGTAGGCTTTCTCGAAGTCTATGAAGACTACAACCACGTTTTGCTTGTCTTGCCTGGTTAACTTAAGCAATTCATTTACCAGTAGAATGTTATCCTGAATCCTGCGACCCTTGACAAAACCTGTCTGTGTCGGATGGATAATCTGATCCAGGACCGAGATCAGTCGGCTCGCTAAGGCTTTCGCAAGCATCTTATACACGACAGTGAGCAGCGTTATCGGCCGGTAGTTTCTAATGTCCATCATATATCCTTTTTTGTGCAACAACGTAAGGACACCTTGCCCCACCAGCTCCCCCATGTTTCCGGTCTCCCATACCAAACTATAAAAATCCACGAGGTCTGAGACCATCTGGAACGATGGTAGATGGCTTACTGTTTCTTGAGAGGGCAAGGAATAAGAGACTGTGTGTTCCCAGTAGTGAGTCTTTGCGAAGTTTTTTTTTAGGGGAATGTCACGATGCAACTGGTCATTTTGGTTATAAAAAGACTTCAGCTAATTTAGTGCAAAGATTTTGGTGGCCCACTATGATGCAAGATGCGAAAAAGTACGTTGAAACCTGCCACGTTTGCCAAAGAGACAAGCCTAGGACTCAGGCTCCGCTTGGGCTCATCAAGCCCTTGCCGATTCCTGAAGGTCCTGATCAGAGTGTCCATGGACTTCATGGATACTCTTGTGACCAGCAGGTCTGGAAAAAGGCACATCTTCGTGATAGTAGACCGCTTTTCTAAGTATGCAAGACTTATTGCTATGCCAAAAACTACTAAAACCGACTATGTCATCAAACTGTTTTTGGATAACTGGTTTAGGGATTTTGGACTACCTACGTCAATAGTAAGTGATAGGGATGTAAGGTTTACCAGCGAACTGTGGCAGGCGACAACTGAACAAATGGGTACCAAGCTCCAAATGACGTTCGGGAATCACCCTGAGTCAAATGGCCAGGCATAACAGTACAGCACCTGCTTCAGCATTATATTACGCCAAGTCAGGATGACTGGGACGAGAAGTTACCTCTCGTCGCCAGCTTATACAACAATGTTGTGCACAGTAGTACAGGTATGACTCCCAACCAGCTGCACCTTGGTTGGAAGCCCAGAATTGCACTTGACTTCCTGCTCCTAGAAAGGCAACCCACTGCAGCACCTGGCAGCATAGAATATGTTGTCAAGTATCAACAGATGCTGCAGCAGGCCGTCAAACATATTAGAAAGTCTCAGGATGCTATGATTGCATCTAAGAATAAACATAGACGACCCTCTAACTTTCAGGTAGGTGATAGAGTCTGGGTAAAGTCATCTGAACTAGGTCAGGAGTTGGGGATTTCACGCAAACTGATGCCACAGTACTTTGGGCCCTCAGAGATCTTAGACATTGTACGGGATCAACCAGATGGGCCTTCATATGTGATTCGCATTCTTTCACACTTGCGCACTTACCCTGTTTTCCATGCATCCAAGTTAACACCTTTCGCTGCCACAGATCAGTTTCCTTCCAGGAGATCAATGCTGCCCCCAACCATGGATGGACACGTGGACATTGAGGATATCATCGAACACAAGCTGATGTCTGTGCCCAAACCTCCAGGAAGGGGCCGACCTCCAAAGCCACAGATGAAATATTGTGTGCGGTTCAGACATCATATTGATCCTCAAGAAGACCAGTGGTTCACAAGGGAGGAATTAATGAAGACTACTCCCCAAATTATCTCAAGTTACGAGAGAAAGCTGAAAGGGAAGCAGCCTGTTACATAAGGACTTCTCAGAGGACTATCGAAGAAAAGGAGGAGGGAATGCGAGGATCTGGGTCCTCGGCAGGCCTAAGGGGGCCCCTGCTGCAAATGTGCCCGCCCTAAGTGAAGGCGAGCCTAACAAATCCCGAGAGGCCCTAAGTTGTCAAATTCGTATTTGGGATCCAGGCACGCCAGTTGGTTGAGGAAACAGAGGCCGAGCAGCAAGGAAATTCCACGACCTTCCAGGCTCTTCCGAAAGCACAGGCCCTGGGCAAGATTCGCAGCCTCATACACAGACAGTTGGGAGGCCCAACCGAATGAGGCCCATTAGCTGCACCAGAGGCGCAGCATCCTGGGGCCTACCGGAAGCTTCTGGGCCCAGGCCCAGGCCAGCCAGGCTGCGAAGGCAGGCCAGCTCTTTCCCATGTAGGAAAGAGCTCGCTGCCTGGCAGCTCATTCACGCACTTGCATGCCTAGCGGCAGCGCTGCTGGAGCAAAGGCTTGCGGGCTGTGATAGGTGCTGAGAAGCAAGTTGTGGACACGTGCGGTCGTGTGAAGGAGGAGGGCGCTGCTGAGGGCAGCGCCATAGCCCAGCCATCATAGCTGGCGGGCTTGGACTACAGTGAGGCGCAGGGGTGGTCTTCGGGTGTACAAAAGGGAAGATGTGGTAGAGAGACAAGGGAGAGAGAGAAGGAAGATGATGATGATGATGTGAGGGCACATACCTGGTATTGGCGATGGTCTGCAAGGGCGACATCTTCAAGTACTTCGGAGGCCGCTGACTTCAACAGTTGCATTGTCAATTAGTAGGCTAGTGGTAGCTGTGTAGGGACTAGGCTGGGCGCCGAGCGCCAAGTAGGGAGAAAGGGACTGGATACATATGTTGGTGATGGCGAGAGCAAGCATTCAATGACATTGGTTTTCAGTGCTATGATTCTCCATTGGTGTCATATTGGTGCAATGTTGTTTTCTGTTCGCTGTGATTCGATCTGGCTTTCAATGTGATTGTGCAATCTGAATATTGTCATCTCCCTTCTGTTCATTTTCCTTGCAGGAGGGGGAAAGACAAATAAATAAATAGTGAAATTTCAAGGAAAAATAAATTAATAATAATAATAAATTAAATAAATAAATAAGAAATAAGCAAAAGTTGA